CTGCTCTCAAAATCCTCAGAGCTGTTCTATTTCAATAGAACTCCTCCCTTGTTCGCTTCTTTTAGCATAAAATACAACAGTAAATTAATATTCTTGCACTGAATGTTAAGGAAAAAATATTTAAAGCCCCACATGATCAACACAGAATTTCCCAGACTTTTATTTACTCTTTCTAAAGGGGAAAAATTGTGTACCAGTTTACTGTACAAGCACAAATGATCATTTTATGTAGAAGTATTTAAATTCAGAACACTAAAACAATGACAACATCACAAAAAAAAAGGCTAAGTTCACAACTGGTTATTGTCTAGTTTTGCTTTAAAAAATTCCACTTCTGTAATTATTATTATTATTATTATTATTATTATTATTATTATTATTATTATTATTATTATTATATTTTGTTAATGGTATAGGAGGAAAAATAAGACAGAACTTACAGAATCAGTGCACGTGTCAAGATTGCTTTATATTATTTTTAAGCAAAGAGAGCACAAAAGCAATCCTTTAACCATCTACTAACCTCAACTTGATTTGCATTGAAAAACAGGTAGAGCATAGTAGTTGAGGTTTGTGCTTCGTAAAAGCAAAAGAAATACATGGCAGTTGCAAAGCATTCTTAACCTCCAGTGATTTATTGGCCCTCAGCCAAGTTAACAGGGGAATCTAATTCTTCTTTATTATTCAAATAAACCACATTTGGCACCATGGTTCCTTTTCAGAATAGCTTCACAAATAGAATGAGTACTGTCATTTATTTGACCTTGTACTTGCGTGCTGTAGCTATAATTTTATTTGCCATTTCATAGAACAAATGCACAAAAAGCCAAAATAAGGAAATATGTTATACTACTGGTAACAGAGTACACACGTAATATACCTGTTGGTTTTGCCTGCTTTATTTTCAAATAGATACATTCTCAAAATTTTATTCTTGTTTTCTTCCTTTTTCATCTCTATTATCTATCTCTTGTTATGCCAGCAGCTGCACTGTTCATTTTTAGTGAGCTCCCTTTTCAACAGGCCAATCTGCTCTGTGTCCTGGGCAAGTAGGAGCAAAGGTAGGAGATATTTTACTTTAAGATGTGGACTTCACAGGCTGGAAACAATGCATACTATCCTTGCTGAGTACAACTGTTGTAAGAGATGATTAAGAACTTGTTTCCTGAATGCAAAAGCACCCTAGCCAGATTATTAGCTCATGATATTTTCTGTGTTCAATAAAAACATCAAATATCAGGCAATTTTATCCTTTCTAGATAATACATTTTTATTCTATCTGTTTCTGGATAGACTTTTCTCCTTTTTTGTTACTTTTATGTTTCAGCATACGTTTGGTCCAAGTCTCAAACACAGACACTATTCAGGAGAAATGAAATCTCTTAGGGAAGCACTCACACTGACTTCTAAGTGCTGGAAGGAGCAATTTGAATACTTCTTCAGCGGTTAGCCATTTTCTTTTGAAATCTCATCCCATCTCTAAAAGGAAATCAGGGACTGAGGGTTTCAAAGATGGAAGCTACACCGATATCAAAAATTACCTACTGACTTGGAAAATGTATGGGACTAGATATATATGAAGAACAAACATTTTTCCATCACTACAGAGATCCAGTGTAAAAAGATGTTTGTATTGGCTACACCACCACAGATCATGTTGTCCAACCCAGAGAAGAAATCCTGGCCATACTGCACATTTCTAGGTCTTTCAACAAATAGTACAGTTCACAAAAGTACAGAAAAGTATGTTCAACTACTTCAGCTTGCCTCAAGTGTAACTGAGCTATGATAACATAGACTAAAGCCAATACACACAGACTTTTTAAGTGGGAGATTGTTGGTCCATTTCTCTTGCTTTGACTCTTTACCTTCTCTCACTCATTATTTTCAGCTAACTCTCTTTTCCTAAACTTTGAAATGTATCTCTGTCTTCTGAAGCTGATCTGATTGTAATTCCACAGTGTGGTCTGAAATATACATATGCCAAACTGGCTTAAAATTCTTGGTTAGCATTAGCAGGAAGATAAATCATACAAAAAATTATTCAGAATATATATGTCGATGGGTGTCTACATATAAGTTATATTCATTGTGATGTCAAAAGTGCATTTATTGCAATTTTTGCTTACTGTTCAAATATACTGTTACTTTTGCCAGGGGTAACTTTATTATTATAATTTTCAGGCTACCTTCCAAGACATTGTTTTATCAGATTTGTTTACTATTAGTCCTGCAGCTATCTTAGAACATTGTCATCCATTTGTTTTGCACCACTGGCTCTAAATGTTCTGAAAGAGTAAAATTGACTACCATAACTGTTGTCACCTGCTGAGATTCAATACAAGAACTATTTTCCTTTATCTAGGAGACATGAGATTTTGCTTTGCAAATACAAAATATATTTTACATTATTTCCACGCATGCTAGTTAAAAAATGAAAACTAAAAAAATAACAAAAACAACACCAAATAAGGATGAAGTCTTGGAGAAATAATTTGACTAGAAAGTAAGACTCCAAAGGCAGCACTTGATGAAGCTATTTCAAATAATACTGTACATCATAATGCCTTTAAGTGCAACACTGCCAGGAGGTTCTATATAAATATAAAGTTTTGGAGTACCAGCATAGGGTATATCAATGTTTATTTGCAGTGTGAGAAATAGAAAACCACATTACCACATAGCACCAACTCAGAAATTCAGAATTCACAAGAATTTTAAGTTTGGTGCGGTGAAAACTGTAGCATTTCCATGTATATTTGAGAAATGGTTCTAGGGATAGACTTCCTAATATTTTTAGCAACTAATAAGCTTTGACTAGTGATTTAGTAGGAGGTAGCAACAGCACTTACTTTAAAATTATTAAGAGACTAGTGATATAATGCTGTACCAAGAGAACAATACATCAAAAATATATAAATACTGTGGATCTTAGAAATACAAAATGTCTCCATAAAGACAAAAGAGAGGAAAAGCAAAAAACTCAGATATTTTAGTAAATCTCAGTACGTTTAATTTATTATTCTATGAAAAACCACAATACTGGTTCTGATTTTTGGTAGTTTTTCCATCAGTACTTTCAGTGGTGAACACATGAAAATGTTTGCCCTGATATTCCCAATATTCTAACATGCAAAGAAAATTGCTTCATTTATCTGAACCCTTTCTTGAAATGCATATGGATCAAGATGGAGTGTAAAGTCTTAACAACATGATCTGAGTTCAGAGTAAGGAGAGATTTATCAACTCTATAGTTTGAAAGACAGTGGCAGAAAATGCTTTTAACAAGAGACTAACATAGGGTTAAAGCCAAATTTTTCTTGAACAGATGATATTTCAGATGGCCACACTATTCCAGATGCATCAATTTCCTTGAAAATCCAATCCATATATGTGCATATGCTGTGCTGGCAGGAGGACTGACTGAAATGGCCAAAACCCAAGAGCTAATATTCTTTTGGCCAGAATAATGCAATTATTATTTTCCTAGCTATCAGTCTAAGCATACAGAGCCATCTGTTATGCAAAGCAAACATACACATCTCAATTACAGAAAATGCAGTTGCCTTGACAGAATTTGGATTACACTACTAACCAGGGCTGTAAAATTTGTTTTAAGCTAGTGTATAATGGATGCCTTTCAGGAGTTTCCTAATTAGCATTTACCTGCTTAAAATAATTATCCATCCTTCTTCTTTACCGGCTTATTAGACTTTGTTGGATACTATGCATAAACCAGATTAATATGAACATAAGACAATAATAAACATTAAAGTTCCAATTCTTTACTGTATTAGCAGCATGGTGGTGCACCAATTTCAAAATGTGAGATTCTTGATACTAACTCCCAAACAGATTAAGTCAGGGATTAAAGTCTATTACAAAACGAGGGACTTTAATGAGAGACAAGAATACTGATATGAGCTAGAAACAGCTCTTGTTTCCATTTCTATCATTGGGTTTCCCAAAGCCAGCACAAAATAACAATTACTGAACTTATTACAGCCAATTGCTTGTGTGTTCTTTGAGGATTTAATGAGCCCCTATTCATATTCTCACCTGAAAATATTTAAAATTAGTGGTTTTTTGGTCACTAAATGTTAATATTTCTCATTTAATTGTTGGTTGGGTCCAGCAAAACTGACAGTAAGTAGCCTATACAAATAGTTGCTTCCTCATAGCTGTGTGGGTCCCAATTTAAAGTAGCTGATATAAGTATTATTTCAGTTTTCTTTTCCTCCTCAGGTTGACTGCAGTAGAAGTAGATGGTCCCTCTCTGAAAATCATCATGCAAAATATTTCTGCTTCATTTCTAAGTGAAAGCAGAAAGAAGCTATCCTGGCTAAACATTTCTGAATGCTGCAGGATCAGGAATAAGCATTACAACCAACTTTTGCCCCACTTCTGTCCTGCCTTTTAATCTTTGAAAAACAGTTGTCAGCAATTAAATAAAAAAAAAAATCTCAAACCAAAAGCCCCCAAATTACTATATTTTATAAATTCATCTTTTCATATTAGTGAGCATTGGTGAAACCATCAAAATGTGTCCTTGTTGGAACCCTCCCTGCAAGACATTTTAATGGCCTCTTTCAGCATTTCTTGACTCCAAATGACTCCCTGTCATCGTGTCAGCTCCCTGGATAATGCAGGGCACTCCATAAACATCCAGTAATAGGACACAAGGGAAGCACTATTAGAGTGTCCCTTTCCTATCAGGTATAGAGGTTTAAAGTTCAAAAAAACTGAGAAAAGAAACTTCATTTGTTCTCAATAAATTAATAATGATCCTCTGTGGCCAAAAGTTTTCTTACACACCTCAACATTCAATACTATCGACACATTTTTCAGTTGTGTCTCAGGATGAACAGGATGCAACTTTAAACAGCTAATTCAATAATCCATGGAAAACACAGAAGCCAAATTATTATTTCCTTAATAATAATAAAACAGAAGAATGCATCATACACAGTTATGTACTAGAATTGAAAGCATGTACTTACTTGGGACAGGCCTAAATAGATGGAGACAGTTTCTGAAATGTACAAAAATTTTCCTTCTTGATTTAGTGCAAATACAAATCCATCCAGGGACTACAGAATAAGAAGGAAAAAAAGTGAATAGATTAATAACGAATTACAAACTACAAATAGAAATAGATTCAAACAAACGCTTCACAGAATAAACTGAGGAAAATATTCTGACTTTTGTGAGAGTGGTTTTAATTTGAATCCTTAAGACAATTTCTTTGTATTCTGTCTACATACTAATAAAAATCATATGAGTATATTACTAAGTCCAAGTTGATAAGTTTATTACTAAGTTATTTTTCTCCCATGCTTATATCTTCCATATACTGTATAAAATTTTTATCATTTGCTTGATAGAAAAAAAATTAAAAAAATTAAATGTTCATTTTTTTTTTCATGAAGAAACAAATAATGGAAACAAATAACCTTCCAACTGAGCAGTGTATATAAAGAAAATAACCCTCCATTGCTCAGAATCAAAGCAGAGAATTTCCATTTCCAAAAATTCAAAAGGAGAAAACAAAATCCTGCCATCACTCAAATCGCTGTGGACCTCAATAATTTGTAAATTAATTGAGGATTACACACACACGCACGCACATGCACGCATATACGCACACACCATTTTCCTTTTGTGAGACAACAAAGCCAATCAGCAGATTACTGTCAAATATGTTTACAGCTTAGGTCTCTAGAAATGCTATAAATTTCATCCTTTTGGTGTAAAAGTCTAGATCAGATTTTTCTTTGAGAGGTTCAAGTCTTTGGATGTGGTTTCCATTGCAACTGCAAAAACCAAAATACAATTACAGTGATCAATGCATACCCTTTGAAACATGAGTGCAGTTAATAAACAGAGGACTATATTCTAAACTGACACAGAGTAAATCACTGCACATCCAGAAGGGAGTATACCTCTATGAATAGGAGCAAATCTTCACTAGGAAGAAACTACCTTCATCCACAATGCATGTCTTTACCTTTCTGCCTTTTATGAGGATGATTTTTGGCAAAAAATGATAGACTGTTGCAAAAGTAAATTAACAAAATTCCAGAAATTCCAGAAATTCCAAAATTCCAGAAATGCTAAAACAGCTCAAAAAGTATGAAACAGTTCAAATGTTGGGAGGAACAAGGAAAAATCCCAAAAATCCCATCCCAAATATCCCCTTGTGATAAAAGAATGTGTAAAAGAAATATTAACTGTAGCATTTGAGAGATTAGCCTGGTTTTGGAAGGGAAAAGCACATAAATTTGATGGAGATACATGATGACAAAATCATGTAATCACTCCTTTGCAAATACACAACTGTGATTTCTGAGGGATGTTAATATTTTTATTCTTCTGCTTCTTGACTATTTTCTAACAGTCTGCTAGTCAAAAGCTGTCTTTGGTAAAAGTTCACCCCTCTCTGAGGTAGTAGGTGGTGGAATTAGTGCAAAATCTGAGTTTTCTAAAAATAATAGACCGCATAATGGAAAACAAACCCTCACTAAAGACACTGCATTAAAAAAGACTCTAATTTATATCTATGAATTAATAAAATGTAAATCTGCATAGATCTCCTTCATGTAAAACATTTATATTATGCAAGTAATTTATGGCCTCTTATAAATCATCATCATTTCTTTCTCAAACTATTAACATAACTTCCTCGAATTTTTAACATCAATAACAGGTGGAAAATTTGGAACAGTGAAGTTCAAACTTAGATCAATGCCAGGACAATCAAAACCTTTGCACATCTGATCTCTCTCACTATGTACAATCTCTTACTCAGAAAAGCATATCTTTAAAGGTCTTATTTAAAGTATTCCTGATTCTCTGTCCTGAGTTCCTTTGAGGAAGCTGGTTTAACCCTCTGTTGAGCTGAGAACCACAGCACTGTCTCCCTGGCTACCTACACAGAACTCCATTCTTCACCAACAACAAGAAATTGTCCCACTGACTCAGACTAAAGGCCTGTGTGCAGCAGTCAGCTTCCCTGGGTGTGACAGTATGTACAGAGATGCTTCAGAACAGTGGAATATCCATACTGGCAATGACAAGCCTACCAGAGGTTTCTTACTAACCTGTTCTTAGCAGCTGGCATGACTGTGATCACTTCCTCTCTTGAGGAAAGGTGTTTCATAGGTTATTTGTGTATCATATAAAAACAAGTTCCCCCTTCTCAGTTTTTTATGAAGCTTTTTGAGTGGCCCCTTTGCTCTGTTACTTGAGAGAATGACATAAAGTTTAAGCACATTTATGGTCTGGTCTGCTTAGCACACTGCATTAGTGTATAATTATCTGGCATATCTGGGCAAAGTTTTCAAAGAACCAGAAAGAATAATTCTCTGAGTTACTTATGTCTTTTCTGCTTCCTTTATGCACATCATCTTATTTAGGAATTCAGGCCTAATGAAACACAAGTTTGAAGAAAGCTTTGAGTATTGATTAGGCAGAAGTTTTTCACTCAGTGTAGTTTTGAAATTGTCTGAAACCAGTTTTGCTGGAAAAATATAAACAAACAAACTAGCTGACATAGCTGTTCATGTTCAAAGAAGTTTCAGCCTCCATGGCTAAAGTTTCTAAGTCATCAACTGGAAGGGTGTTGAAGTGAGAAGTGTTAGTCATCTTAAGCACTTGCTACTTTTCCTTGCCATTAATTGTGATTCTCTCCTTTAATTTATTAGCTTTACTTGTTTAGTCTTTTTTTCTCTTTCTTTCTGGAAGAATATTCCTTACTTTTGCCCCCAAGTTCTACAAGGGAGGCAACGGAGGAGGCAGCACCAAAGGACTGGCAGGGCCACTGCAGCACACCAACACCTTTGGATGTGATTAGTCACTTTCTGTGACATAACATTTGTTCATTAAGCCAGCTGAGACTAATGAGTCATGGTCATTCTTTCTCAATTTCTTTTTCCACCTCTCTGAAGCTATGCTTATGCTCAACTACTGACCAAATTCAGCATTTTGTTCAATAGAACAAAATGAGGAAGTTTACTGAATTGTATTTTGAAAGAGCCACTGATTAACAGGAAATGGACACCTAACTCCTTTCATGCCCCAAATACAAAGACCTTAAAACAAAAGCTCCAAGTACTAAGCTCAAGTTCTAATACCTAAGAAAAATGACAATAAAAATAGGAGGAGAAATAGCCATCTTCCAATGCAAGGCAGTTCCTCCCACCAGTATGAAAGGGCTGCGACGGACCACTTTTGTGACAATGTTGTTGTTCCTTTTACAGGTCAAACAGTAGTTCTGAAGGACTGCCTCATTCGTTATTCATAGGTATTATTTATGAATATTTATTATTTAAGTAATGCGTGTTGAAATTTTTCAATTTTTCATAAAGCGTACGTCCTTCGTGCATGCCAAGAGAGCAGCAGACTTCAGAGAAGGTGCAAGGCAACATAACACAGGTTATGTTATATACTGGAGAAGAGTATGTGAGACCGCTGGATACTACATATTCACAAACAATTTTGTTTTAATGAGAAATATCTGGATGTATGATTCATATCACTTATGTATAATTAAGGGCAAAATAAATGAGAGAAGGGTAGTGGATTGAGTCAGATTTCAAATATCTCTTTTGAAAGGAGGACCACAGTGCTTTCCAGCCAGAATTTCTGAACAGTTTCAATGTAGTTCACAGGCAGAAGGATTTCTGTTCTGGACATTCCAGAGTTAACTATACTATACAAATAGGGTCTGAAAAGGTAACTGGGTTTTTGCAATGCCCTATTTTCATCGAAGGAGAGACTATGAATACAAGGAAAATTTTCTCGACTTAATTTCTCTCTTTTATTGTTTAAAGCAAATGAAGTTGACTGTCATAAACCTACTCCTATCTCATCTAGTGTGGCAGCTGAGAAAGGGTCAGGATGACCCCAAATGCCAATTTTGAGCACAATCCAATTTAAGGTAGACTGGCAACTTCTTGTTTAAAACTACACTTATTGGCTTTATGCAAAATGTGATTAAAGCTGAAGCTCTCTATTACTTTTGATTTCAGAAAACCATTATGTATTATGCTGTTTCAATCACCACAGGCTACTTTTTAATTTATTTTTTTTTTAACTGCCCCACTGTTTTCAACAGGCACCAATTAAGATTCTGGGGTCAAAGGGTTAATTACATCTTCTTACCCACTATGTAGAATTTTCTGATTATTAACCAAGGTTGGATTAAGATGAAAAAGAACCGACACAAATGTTAATGCTTGCCCCTCCTCAAGAAGATTTATCATAATACCATGCTGAAATCTATATGCTCTCTTCAAAGCTGTTAAAGAATGAAATCTTGAAGGGAACACTAAAATAAATGCTTTAAAGACATGCAAGTATCTGATTTATTGAACCAGTTTTCTTTTCCTGAAAACTGTTCTAAATTAGCCAGGCAGGACTGATACAAATTTTTCTTTGTCACATACGAGCAAGTTAATGTGGTAGACATGAAGGAAGTGAGACTCAGATTTAAAAGTCACTAGCTACAGCACCCCAGAACAATAATGCAAATTATTATAATATATATCCTCTGACATCAGAATAATACAAAAATGTAAAGCACAGGTTTTTAACCCAAAATACTCACTGCCTTTTATAGTATTTGAAGCATAGTGAGGTTATTTCCTTTCAGGATATGAAACCCAGTGTACCACTTTGACCGAATATGCACTTATGTATAATGCATCATAGTAAATGGATTTATATTTGTCAGAGGAATTTTGTCCCAGCCATTTTTGCATATTCCCACTACAGGCAAATTTAATTCACTGGAGTCTTACTACGGTGTCCTTCTGGAGAATATCCTCATATTTCACACTACCCATGAAATACCCTAATTCTTTCTAGTGTATTCCAATGCTTCAAAAAACCCTGTTACCCTGACCTAAACTCCAGTTAGAGTGAAGAATTACCAGTAGGCTAGGTTATTTTAATGACAGATTATTTTAAACTAAGCCTTCACCATCTGTTCCACCCCCTAATTATGAATGCAAAAAGGACATATTTCACAATTACATCAGTAAAAAGTAAGATATACATGATTTAAATGCATGCATGTGTTCTTTGTCCA